AGCCCTACAACATGACCTCCAGCAGGCCACTGGTGTGAATGTCTCTGACCAAACAATCAGAAACAGACTTCATGAGGGTGGCCTGAGGGCCCGAAATCCCCTAGTGGGCCCTGTGCTCACTGCCTGGCACCATAGAGCTTGATTGACATTTGCCATTGAACACCAGAATTGTCAGGTCCACCACTGGCGCCCTGTGCATTTCACAGATGAGAGCAGGTTCCCCCTGAACACATGTGACAGACGTGAAAGGGTCTGGAGAAGCCGTGGAGAATGTTCTGCTGCCTGTAACATCGTTCAGCATGACCGTTTTGGTGATGGGTCAGTGATGGTCTGGGGAGGCATATCCATGGAGGGACACACAGACCTCTACAGGCTAGACAATGGCACCCTGACTGCCATTAGGTATCGGGATGAAATTCTTGGACCCATTGTCAGACCCTACACTGGTGCAGTGGGTTCTGGGTTCCTCTTGGTGCACGACAATGCCTGGCCTCATGTGGTGAGAGTATGCAGGCAGTTCCTGGAGGATGAAGGAATTGATGCCATTGAATGGCCCCCCACGCTCGTCTGACCTAAATCCAATAGAACAACTCTGGGATATCATGTTTCAGTCCATCCGACGCCTCCAGGCTGTACCTCAGACTGTCCAGGAGATCAGTGATGCCCTGGTCCAGATCTGGGAGGAAATCCCCCAGGACACCACCCGTCATCTCATTAGGAGCATTCCAGACGTTGTCAGGCATGCATACAAGGACATGGGGGTCATACAAACTACTGAGGACCATTCTGAGTTGCTGCAATGAGATTTCAGCAAAATGGACTCGCCTGCTCCATCATTTTTTAATTTTGATTTTCAGGGTGTCTTTGAATTCAGTCCTCTTTAGGTCGATCATTTTCATTTTCATTAAACGATGGGGCATATTAACGTTCCTAACACATTACCAAGTCCATATCAGTATAGATATCCAGCATCATATGTTTCCCCATTGAGATCTGATGGGTTTTCTAAGTGTTCCTTTAATTTTTTGGAGCAGTGTATATGATATAGACTTTTTTTCCTTTTTTTTTTTTATAAGTGATCAAATAATCTCTGAATAAGGAGCTTGGAGAGGCGGGAGTGGAGAAACAGCATTACACTGATCTTCCAGGAATGGCTATGCAGGGGGTGGGGCATGTCAGCACAAGTCTGATTACTGGAGGACAGGCAAGTGTTGGAAAACTGACCACAACGAGATGGATGTGCTTTCATGCCTAGTGTGGTCAGTTTGGAATAGAAAAGCAGAGGGACTGGCAGGATCATCAGGTATTCACACAAAGGAAGTAATACAAAGAGAACAGGGTACTTTTTAACACAAGTACATGGTACAGCGAGCACATATGAGGAATATGAAATGTTGGGGTAACATACTCTTCTATGTTTTAGCCACTAGCTGTCCATGGCAATTTTTTTATTTTTCACATGTTAAAAATCAGCATTATTTAGAAACCCCAAAACATTATAGATTTTCTGAAAGGTCATTTTATGTACCACAATATTTGTGCAGCTGTTTATCAAATGCAAATTAAAAAGAAAAAAAAGAAAACACTAAAATTCATTTTATTGCACACAAACACTTTGTCATTACTTATGATAACACCTATGAATCATGTAATACATCATTTTTTAGGATCTATTTGTAAAGACAAAAATACAACCAACAAAATATTTTTTTTTCACTTGAAGGGTCACTACAATTTTTTCTCCAACAAAACATATTGTTTTGCTCTTAAGGGGAATACTAATACTGTGTTGTGTTCAGGAAGCTATGTACAGCACCCTGTGCCTCCCACCAGCCAGATCTGCCTGCATTGCATAAAGAAGCACATAGACCCAGTGATGAGGTCACTGAGTCTAAAATATGGTTTGCAATAAAAAATGGAATGTTTTATTTAAAAAAATTAATTAACACGTTGAGAAGAAAGGAACCAAAGAAGGAAAAATATAAGCAGATGAAACTTCAGCGCTACCCTTATGCTGACATCTATCCTTCAGTTATTTATATTGTATATAATATATATGGGTGTCCAGGGCTTTTTTCTCAAAAAATAAGTGCAGGAACTCCCCCTTCTTCTTGTCTCCGCCCTCTTACTCATCTCCCAGTACCTCTCCTTTTAGAGAATACAGAGTCAAGTACAGGAGCGGACTGACAACTCATGGGGCCCCTGGGCAATAGGGGATCATGGGGCCCCTGTGTCCTTGCCCAAACTCAAAAAAGCCTATGAAAAAGGTACCAGGGGCATCTCATGGGGCCCCTTACTGACCCCGGGCCCTCGGGCACTGCCCGAGTTTCCAAATGGTCAGTCCGCCCCTGGTCAAGTATAATTTTTGTGGTGCTGAATAATTTGTATGAAATTTGTCAAGGATAACAAGAAAAGCAGAAAAATATATCCTCCACAGCCAGCAACAATAGACCCCCCCAGCAACAATAGATCCCCCAGCAACAATTGACCCTCAAAACAAAATACCACCCAAGCAACAATAGACCCCAGCAGCTACAACAGATCTTCCAGCAGGCAGCATCAATAGACTCTCCAGCAGCCAGCAACAATAGACCCCTCCCTTTTTTATGGTTGAACTGGATGGACTTTTGTCTTTTTTCAGCCAGACTAACTATGTAACAATGTAACAGTAGAGACCTTCCAGCAAAAATTAACCCCTATCAAAAATAGACCCCCACCACCAACAGTAGATCCCTCCCTCAACAGTAGATTCCTTCCAGCAACAATTGACCCCCATCAACAATAAACCCCCACCAGCAACAATAGACCTCATTTTGTGACAATAGATCCTCACACCCCAGCACCCTTTGCCATTACATACATTCAGTGCTGGTGGTACCGGAACTGCATTCCCCCACGTTTCTGCTGAAAAAAAGCCCTGGTATATAATATATATGATGTGTGGCCAGGGCTTTTTTTGAAAAAATAGGTGCAGGAACTCCCCACTTCAAGTCTCTGCCCACCTATTCACCTCCCGGTACCGCTCCTTTTAGAGAATAAAGAGCCAAGTATAATTTTGTGGTGCTAAATAATTTGTACGGAATTCGTTAAGGATAACAAGAAAAGCAGAAAAATAGATCCCAGCAGCCAGCAACAATAGACCCCTTCCCAGCAACAGCAACAATAGATTCCTCCAGCAACAATGGACCCCCAAAACAAAATACCACCCAAACAACAATAGACCCCCAGCAGCTACAACAGATCTTCCAGCAGCCAGCAATAGAGCCCTCCCTCAACAGCAGATCCAGCAACAACTGATCCCCATCAACAATAGATCCCCCACCAGCAACAATAGACCACCAGTCAAAAACAGATCCCCTTCAGTGTCAATAGATTCCCCAGCAGCCAGCAACGATCAACAATAGAGCACTCCCTCAACAGCAGATCCAGCAACAACTGATCCCCATCAACAATAGATCCCCACCAGCAACAATAGACCACCAGTCAAAAACAGATCCCCTTCAGTGTCAATAGATTCCCCAGCAGCCAGCAACGATCAACAATAGAGCACTCCCTCAACAGCAGATCCAGCAACAACTGATCCCCATCAACAATAGATCCCAAGACCACCAGTCAAAAACAGATCCCTTCAGTGTCAATAGATTCCCCAGCAGCCAGCAACAACAGATCCAGCACCTCTTGCCATTACATACATTCAGTGCTGGAGGTGCCCCCGCATTCCCGCAGAAAAAAAGTGTGTGTGGCACTACATTTTGGTGGATATATTTTGTATTTGAGGTATTTTTTTTTTGCCTTCCTCTGGATCAACTGCGGGTGTAGGATTATAACTTTTTTTTTTTCTATGGTTTAACTGGATGGACTTTTGTCTTTTTTCAGCCAGACTAACTATGTAACTATGTATTGGTGGTTTTTCAAAAATGATGGCAGCAAGACTGGGGATTTGGTAAGTCTTTGAACATTTTGGTACTTCCCGTCAGAAGATGGGAAGTTGTGAATTACCGCTGTCAAAAAATGGGTGCCGATGCAATGACAAGGCTAATGTCGAAAATGTTTCTACATAATGACTACAAGGAAATGTAAGCGGTAGGCAGCGTGGCACAGCGCGCCTCTACTGACAGATGACTAAATATTGATGAACTGCAACAGTCCCCGCACTATACCAGCCCTGGAATCGTCCGCCAGGGAAATGCGCAGTATTCCAAGCTTCGCAGCTTCTTGTTTTAGAGAGAAAACCGCTCAGGAGACAGTTGTCGCTGTCCGTCAAGCAGAAGAACAAGCTGCGTTCTCTCTCCAAGAAACAGATCTCCACTTTAAAGCTTTGTGTGAGATACAAAGGTCCCAGTGTGTGTCCTCCTGACAGAAATGACATGTTTCACATGCTGGGCGCTGGAGGGAATATTACGTTTCAGCCCCATCATAAATATACACGCAGAACCTTATCCACAGTAAACCCACAAAAGCTCAATTAAATCACGATTATTTATTGCTCTTCAGAAATGTTTGTTCTGAATTTTACACTCTTTTTGTTCCCTGAAGCTCTGTGAAAGGAAATTTCCGGATACCAGAAAAGGGGGGAAGGGGGGGGGGGTGCTGCTGGGTTTTTGTTATTTAAGATTTGATTGTCAGTGGATGTTTGTAGCCAATATTATTCAAGAGAAACTATAGCCTCCAAAAGTTTTTAAATATTCTATTAGTAGAAGAGTGTTGGACCATAGATATTTAGCCTTTGGTGCCCAAAACGAAGCCTCCTGTTCTAGGATCACTTCTTTTACATATTAAGTTGGGTTGTTAACAGGGGCAGTCTGACAACTTATGGGGCCCCCGGGCAATAGGGGATCATGGGGCCCCTGTGTCCTTGCCCAAACTCAAAAAAGCCTATGAAAAAGGTATCAGGGGCATCTCATGGGGCCCCCTACTGACCCCAGGCCCTCGGGCAGTGCCCAAGTTTCCAAATGGTCAGTCCGCCCCTGGTTGTTAAGTAAAAAGTAGTAAATGAATACTGCAGAAAACAATGTGGGCGGGCGTGATCAGGGGCGGACTGACAACTCATGGGGCCCCCGGGCAATAGGGGAACATGGGGCCCCTGTGTCCTTGCCCAAACTCAAAAAAGCCTATGAAAAAGGTACCAGGGGCATCTCATGGGGCCCCCTACTGACCCCGGGCCCTCGGGCAGTGCCCGAGTTTCCAAATGGTCAGTCCGCCCCTGGGCTTGATCCTTCATGAATGACATTGATCTGCATCGCTTGATGATGTGGTTGATGATGGATGTACAATCATAGGATTTTTTTTCTGGGGGGGGGTGACAGATTGTGTTTATTAAAGAACTTGTTGAAAAGTATCTTGTCATTATTTACTGTTCATATTTTTTTTCATTAATGAGTAGGGTTAACCCTTAGTCATTCACGTTGGGGGGGGACACCTTATCTTACAGGGGGCTTCCAGATTCCAATAAGCCCCCTGCCCAAAGACCCACAACCACCGGCCTAAAGTTGTGGGAAAGATGCCTTTGTCCTCATCAACATGAGAAGGTGTTTTGTAGATAACTCTACAAAAAAAACACTTCATGCTCATGTACAGATGAAAATATAGAGTTTAGATTGGGGTAGAGAATTCCATAGGATGGGAGAAGCTCGGGAGAAGTCCTGGAGGTGAGCATGGGAGGAGGTGACACGAGAACTAGAGAGCAGAAGGTCTTGGGAGGATCGAAGAGAGCAGTTTGGTTGATACTTTGAGACCAGGTTGGTGATGTAGCTGGGGGCAGAGTTGTGGATGGCTTTGTAAGTTGTTAGTATTTTGAATTTTATTAGTTGAGATAATCAATATGTTTTTCAATCCAAAAGTTACTCCACATCTTTGCAGGCATGGTGTGTTGATTCAGGAGCTACGAGTCACATGACAAATGACAGAAATTTCTTTATTCACCTTGACCAAAGTAAAGCATAAAAAATTCACCACAGCTAATGGGCAAATAATGGAATCAGAAGGAATAGGAGATGGTTTTCTTTACTGTCCTATTTCCCATAGTGTCACCAGAAAGATACCTGTGAGAAATGTCCTGTATGTCCCTGCTCTTGAAACTAATCTTTTGCCAGTGAAGAAGCCCACAAAACAAGGCATCTTCCAAGGTGACAAATATCACAAAAGGGGATATTTTACTTGCAAAGGCTAAAATTACAGACAATATATAAATGTGATAGACCTGCGCTCCTAACTAAAACCTTATCAGCTAATCACAGAGGTAAAGCTGCCAACACTCAGTCATATACCTATAGACAAGTAAAAAATAAAACAAAAAGTAATGTGGCGCTACTATCATATAAATCCTTCACATATTGACACACTGAATTTGCATAAATATAAGTGAAATAGTGCAAATGAGTGAACAAAGACCAAATCAACAATACATAAACCGTGATGGACAACAGTGTAAAGTTACCTCACACAATAACACATGTAACAAGTGCCAACCAACAGGTCCAATTAAGGACCAAGCTTAGGATGATAGTGCCCCAAATGATCCAAATGGATCTAATAGTGATCAACAGACAACATAAAAAGTTCAAAAAGGGGACTCAGCATAAATGCGTGCTGCAAAACCTCCCACCAGAACAAATAAATTGTTCCAACAACAGAAAAAAAAAAATCACAAGTGCATTCCAAAAACCATATAATTAAGTCTAATCATGCAAAAATATTTTTTATATATAAATGCATAATACAACAGATAATATAGTGAAATATAATAAAAAAGTCCCGTGAAGTGAAAAAACACTTATCAGCAATCAACAAAAAAAGTCTACATAAATTCTTTAAACACAAAGTGATGACAGGTGTGCGAGGATATCCAAAATGGCTGAACTGCCCGCTCACCTCCCTCTTGCGACCCACACAGGGTCAAAGAGCCTTTAGGATCACTAATACTTGGATCCTTAATACCCGGACTCCTCCACAACTCTCCACACTGGTCTCCCCTCAAGTACAGGCTCAAATACAGGCTCACAGGACAGCAGATCTCCAGGTAAAGTAAATACCAACTATATTATCTGTTGTATTATGCGTTTATATAATAAAAAATATTTTTGCATGATTAGACTTAATTATATGTTTCTTGGAATGCACTTGTCATTTTTTTTTTTTGTGTGGTTTTGCAGCACGCATTTATGCTGAGTCCCCTTTTTGGACTTTTTATGTTGTCTGTTGATCACTATTAGATCCATTTGGATCATTTGGGGCACTATCATCCTAAGCTTGGTCCTTAATTGGACCTGTTGGTTGGCACTTGTTACATGTGTTATTGTGTGAGGTAACTTTACACTGTTGTCCATCACGGTTTATGTATTGTTGATTTGGTCTTTGTTCACTCATTTGCACTATTTCACTTATATTTATGCAAATTCAGTGTGTCAATATGTGAAGGATTTATATGGTAGTAGCGCCACATTACTTTTTGTTTTAAAATTACAGACAAACTGTATCAGCAGAGGTGGTAGGGCTGTAGTGCTATATACAGAATTTCTAACAGAACTATATTGCTCCCAGGTAACATTGTGAGAAGGCTGGTTAATATTTGCATGCAAGAGTATAATTTGGGGCATTTAGCAGCTCAGGTAAGTGCAGGGGCGGACTGACAACTCATGGGGCCCCTGGGCAATAGGGGATCATGGGGCCCCTGTGTCCTTAACCACACTCAAAAAAAGCCTATAAAAAGGTACCAGGGGCATTTCATGGGGCCCCCTACTGACCCCGGGCCCTCGGGCAGTGCCCGAATTCTCGAATGGTCAGTCCGCCCCTGGGTAAGTGGACTGCAGACACAGCAACCTGTCTGTGCATCTGTTAGCTGTGAAATTTCTGCCACTTTGTTCAATTCTGGTTAATTTTCTACCAGGTCAACCATATAGATAACTCATAAAGAGCTGATGAAGAGATAAGGCCCACAATGCTGCATCTTTATGTAATTATTCAGCCTGTGAAAGTCACTGAGTCAGAAAGAAAAACCTTATAAGAGAATTATAGGGCGATGTTTTATCCTGATCCATTGCAAGGAGTACAATGTCACTGCCAAACTGAGAGATTAGCATTATTTCTAGACTACATTTGCAAGAGAGGAGGTGGAATTTCATTTCCAGTAATGCTGGATTTATAACACATTAACCCTCCATGGTGTCTTTGTTTCATTTATCTTATCTGCAGGAATGTTGTCCCAATAGATTTCTGTTGCAATTTTTTGTTCTGTAGCAGGGAGTCCAAGGCTGTTCTCCAACATTCAAGCATACATACGCTGATGTCCCGTACACACGTTCAGAAAATGAAAGACATAAATCGGTTTTCAAAGGGATCCTACAATAATCTGATCGTTAGTACACAAAGGAAAAAGCATGTAAATTGTACAATAACAGTTCGATCAGTACAGTACACATCTGAATAAAATCAAGAACCTAAGGCCACTCATGCTCAGAAACGAAAGAATACATTACAATACATTACATCACTTCTGAAGTCGTATTCCGCCGTACAAGAATTTTTGTAACTTTAGTAAGCTCTTCATTTTTTGATGTGAGACTGGCATGCAACAAAAAAAAGGACGATAAGTCGTCCAATTATCTGATTGAGTGTACTAGATGCAGGGGCGGACTGACAACTCATGAGGCCCCCAGGCAATAGGGGATCATGGGGCCCCTGTGTCCTTGCCCAAACTCAAAAAAGCCTATGAAAAAGGTACCAGGGGCATCTCATGGGGCCCCCTACTGACCCCGGGCCCTCGGACAGTGCCTGAGTTTCCAAATGGTCAGTCCGCCCCTGACTAGGCGTAACAGTTATCCCTCCTCTACTTAAACACTGAGAAGTGTATCTAGAAAAAGTTTTTTTGTGCTTTTTATGTAACCGCATGTACATTTGTTCTGTGTGAATGGGGCAAACTTGCTTTTTTTCAATCCAGGTCAAATGTTATTCATTCAGAAAAAGTGGTATGGGAAAATACCACATTATGGCCACTAGATAGAGTGAATGATGACAGTATATAAACATTTATTTTGTATAATCATTGGCTACTGTGGTGTTTAAAGCCCAACTCTTATAAACTTAAAAATGATTCTTGGTTACTGCATGTGCTTTAATGTGCGTTTTGTCTCACACATTAATTGCATATATATATATATATATACATATCTATATCTCTCTGTATTTATATTTTATTTATTTATAAATAAATATAATTATTTATAAATATGATACATAGTAGGAAAATCTGTGCCTGACCCTCCTAAATAAGCACCCACCACGCTATACCAGCACTCACCTCGTTGTGCACCCCCATATCCCTTAATGCCCTGGTTGTGCCCCCCAGTTCCACAGAACCCCACCCACCGTGCAGCCCCAATCCCTCTATCTTATTGTGTACCCCAGTTCTATATAACCCCCCCTTCTCTCCCAGGTTTACAAAGACCGATCTCCCATTTCTAATCACCCCAAATTCTTATCAACTTTACACTCTTATGAATTATGCACCCCGGGTAACCACCACTGGCAACGTGACATTCCCTGCACCTACCCAGAATGCCTTGATTTTAACTGAGATATACCTTTAGTTCCCAGTCACACCGGTGCGAATTGTCATGCGATTTGATAGTTTCAAAACGCATGACAAGTCGCACCTATTGTCCGCAAAGGAAGAGGTCAAATCAGTGCAACTCCAACAGACAGAGTCGCGACAATTTTTAAAGTAGTTCATACACTAATTTTGTAAGATAAGGTGCGACTTGCATAGATATCTGGGCATGAGGTCGCACAGATGCCTTCCAAATTGAACCCGAAGTTGCACTGACATCCGACTTAGTTGCACAATTTCAAAGCTGGATTCAGTGTGACTGAAGATTTAGGATACTTTCACACTGATCAGTTTTTGAAGCGCTTTTGCATTAAAAAAGAGCACCTGAAAAGCTCCAGAAAAATGCTTCTCTATGTATGTCTATGTATGTTTTCACACTGGGGTGTTGTGCTTCTGTTGCAATGTTTGTTCAGTAAAAACAAACGCCCCAAAAGCGCCTCTTTCCATTGAAATCAATGGAGAAAACCTGAAAAAAAAAAACACCTAAACATGCCTCAAAAACACCTCTGAAAAGCATTTTTGGTGCAGTTTTTAAGTCACGCGTCCTTTAACCTCCTTAGCGGTATGATTCTTTCCGATTTTTTGTGCTGAAAGCGGTACCATTTTTTTGC